CGATAGTCATCCAGGGCAGCCATTAGGGCCCCCAGTGCCTCTTCCAGTTTCCTGTCCCCAGCACCTCCAGCTGCCCCTGGAACTGGGGCCTGGGCAGCCCTGGCCACTCTAGGGTCTGAATGCTGGGGCACAGGGGCTAGGGGTGAGGGAGGGGGACTTGGGCTCTGACGGATGGCTTCTGGGAGTTTTGGGGAAGGGCTTGTGAGGGGTTCCCAACTGGAGCAGGTAGGACTTGGGTGGGAGGTGCTGAGGGCTATGGGGTCTGCCTGAGTGCAGGAAGTGGAGGCTGGGTAGCTACAGGACAGGGGGTCGATGCCTGGGAGGGGAGGGTCTGTGTTTGCAGAGGGGTTGGAGAGCGTGGCAAGGTCTAGAAAAGTGGAAGGGCTTACAGTTATAAGCGTGGGACTTGTGACAGAATGGGTAGGACTCCCGGTGATCTGGACTGGGTCCTTAGCATTGGGTGTAGCGGTGTGAGTTGAAATCCTGGCTGTGTGAGTAGGGGTTGCAGTAGTGTGGGTACTGCTTGTGGTGGTGTGGGTAGAGCTTGCAGTAGTGTTGGCAGGGCTTATTATGGTATGGGTGGGGCTCGTTATGGTATGGGTAGGGCTTGTAGCAGTGTGGGTGGGGCTTATGGTGGTATGGGTAGGGCTTGCAGTAGTATGGGTGGGGCTAGTGGTAGTGTGGGTGGGGCTTATGGTAGTCTGGGCTGGGTCTGTGATACTGGGGGTAGGGCCTGCAGTAGAGAGGGTAGAGATCACGTGTTTGTTGGTGGGGCTTGTGACAGTGTGTGTCAGGTTTGTGACAGTGTGTGTCAGGTTTGTGACAGTGTGGCTGAGGCTTGTGGTGGTCTGGACTGGGTCTGCAGTATTGGGGACAGGAGCTACAGGAGTGACGGTAGAAAGCATCGGCTTGTGGGTGGGACTTGTGGTCTGGACTGACCCTGTGGTACTGGGGGTAGGGCCTGTAATAGTGATGGTAGAGACCACAGTCTTGTGGGTAGAACCTGTGGTAGTGTGAGTAAGGCTTGGAGCACTATGGGTAGGGCTTACAACACTAGAGGTGGCGCTTGTAGTGGTGTGCGTGGGGTCTGGCAATTCAGGATAGCTAGAATTTATGGTCTTGTTAACTGAGTCTAGGTGTGCAGAGGGGGCAGGGTCTGTAGATGTGTGGGCGGGGCCTGTTGTACTGAGAGTGGGGCTTATGGCAGAATGGCCAGGGTCCAGGGCAGAAGGGACAGGACTAGGGTGCTCCCCATGTGTGGGATCTGGATGTGCAGGTGGGCTGGGTCCCTGGACTAGACTTTCTAGGCCTGCAGCCTCCACTGAAGCCTCAGCCATGGCAGCATCCACACTGGCCTCACTGATATGGCTCAGAGTCCGGCTATAGGGGGCATGCCCATTGGCCAGGGCTGGGGCCATGGCCCCCTCCTCATCCACGGTTCCAGAAGTGGAGGTCTCAGCCCTACGGAAGGCAACCTGGATGGGCAGAGGCTCAGGCTGCTGCACCAGGGGCCTGGGGGCTGAGGAGTGGCGCGCAGTGCCTGAGAGCTGTGGGCTAGAGGAGTCATCGGAAGATTCGGACGACAGGGACCACGCTGTCCCATTCTCCAGCTCCTCCTGCCGCCTCAGCATATTCTAGGAGAGAGAAAAGGACATCTCAGGACCACCCCCGGCAAACCCCTGGAGGGGGGGCTGAGCCTGGGATGTGACTCACATAGAAGGCCTGTTCCCGAAGTGAGGGCGTGTCTGGTGGGCTCTGGCTGTAGGTGGAGAAGCGCTTGGTGACTGTGGAGGCCTTGTTGACAGTAGAAGCAGCTGAGGGCTGGTCATCCTTGTCGAAGGGACTGGAGAGGGAAGAAGCTGTTAGAAGGTGCTAACATCAAGCCCCAGCCCCGTCTCCAAGCCCCTCAGCCCCACGAACCTCCACGTGACTTCCAGGCTGAGCTTGATGGTGCCGAGGTCATTAATGTCCACAGCTACAACCTGGGGCAGGGCAGCGAACAGATCCTTGGTCTCACAGGAGACGCTGCCTACAACCACATGGTTGGCCAGGCCCTTCAGTTCTGTCACCTGTAGCCAAGAATGCATGGTGGGGTCACAAGGGTGTAGGGGTCATGAGATTGTGGGAGATCAGAGGTCTGAATTTGCATAGAGGTTATGTGACAGTCACAGGGTCATTGGGCCATGAGGAAGTTACAGGGAATGGAGTTCTCAGGGTAATGGGGCCATGGAGGCTCAAAGCAGCCTGGGAGCACGGGGACCACAGAGGTCTAAATTTGTAGTCATTGAGGTCGTGGGAGTCACAGCCTCATGAGAGTTCAGGGATCATATATTCACAAAGTCAGGCGATCACAAGGAAATCACAGGGTCATGAAGGTCAAGGGGTCACGCATTCACAGAGGGCCATGGAACCAGATGGGGGTCACAGGGGTAAGGGTCTCAGGGTCATGAGGATCATAAGGGGTTCACAGGGTCATAGAGCCACAGGATCTTGGTGTCCTATGGTTCTGGGCAGAGACATCACCTTGATGGACAGGAACTCCGTGAGCAGAGGAAGAAAGACGGTTTCCTCACTGTCCCACACCTGCTTTCCACTACCCTCTATGCGGCCCCGTAGTTTCCAGCGCTGACGCCCATATTTCATGCAGATCTAGGGGGAAGAGGCAGGTTGAAGCAGCCCTTGGTGTTGCGACCCTGCCATCCCAGCCCTTCCCTGCCCATCCTCCTACCTCATACTGATCACCCACACATAGCCTGGCGAAGCCGGCCAGCCCTGGGAGTGGGGGAGAAGTAGATGAGCTGGGTCCAGGGGTCTCAGGCACACACCTCCCTCTCCCCGCCACCAGTCGGCCTCACCACTTGGTACCTTTCATCCGGAGATGGAACTCGCCCAGCTGTGCTTCCAGCTCGCTCTCCAGCAGGCACATGCTCTGAGAGGGATGGGCAGGGACAGGAGGAGGTCAAGAACCAGTCCCCTCTCACCAGCTCTGCCACACTCTGTGCCTCTGCCTCACAGGCACACATCCCTCACCTCTGTGTACTCCCGATGCCCCCGAGTAGCCTCGGCCAGGCTGTCCCGGGCCTCACGGCTCCCTGGGGAGCCGGTGCTGTAGGCACGGACCATGTTGTAGGCGCCATCCCGGAGACGCCGCTGGACACAGTATGCCTCATACAGCTCGTCGATCTGGGCAGATGAGTGGGGTGGCAGAGGGGGGATTGAGACTCACTACTGGGGTTGCTCACCCAGGGCCTAGCATCATCCCATCTCCCTGTGATACCCAATCCCCCACCCCACGCTGCAAGCACACACGCATGCTGCACAAGTACCTTGCTGGCGTGGAACTCCAGCCGTCGTAGGAAGCGTTCAATGGACTTGACTTGCTGGGGGAGAGGTGCGTTAGGAGAAGCCTGAGGCCCAGGGCCCTTTACCTCCCCCTGAGCCAACCTCTTCCAACACCATTCTCTATACACTCACCTTGTCTAAGTCATACAGGAAGCCCTGCGGGGAGAGATGAGCGGGGCATTAGGAGGTAGGGGAAGTACTCCAGCAGGGGCAGTTGCTCACCCAGACCTACCTAGCTCCTCTTCATCACAGCCTTCCTCCCTCTCACACCACAGACCACAGCCATTCCAGTCAAAGCAGGGACTGACCTACCTTCCCACGTGCCTCGTCTTTGCTGGTGTCATAGATTTGGTCCCCAAGGCCCCTCTAGTACTCTTCCCCCCACCTCTTCCATGGGATCCCTCCCCTGGCCCACTGCCTTTTCTACAACCCCTAGGAAGAGAGCTCTGTGCCTCTTCATGCATGGTTCCCTCTACCAGGGAACTCCTGTTCATGCTTCAAGACCCAGCAGAAATGTTTCTTCCTCTGGGAAGCCCTGACCTGTCCCCCAGGCAGAACCATGGCTCTCCCTCAGTACCACTACAACATAATCTTATGCTGTCCATGTCTGTGGGGTTTGACCCAACCCACTGGAAGCTCCCATGGACAGGCACTGGGTCCCAGGCAAAGTACATGCAGCCTGGGAAAGCTGAGGAGAGGAACCTCCCCAGCCTTCCCTGATACCCCCTTTTCTAGTCACACCTGGACCAAATCACCCCAGAAAACAGCTCTGATGTCACCCAGGGCTGGTGCTGCCCAGTCCCCCACACCACAAGAGCAAAGGGCATATTAATCCTGGGCATACGGGATGCCAACCCTTCACTTACCAGGCGGGAATTCCTCTTGGACTCCCTTATCTGTCTTTGGAGTTTCTCCTGCTCCTGCTGGTGCACTTCCAAATAGGCCCTGGGGAAAGGGGTGACCACAAGAGTTATCTTACCTCTCCAGCTTCTACCTGCCCAGGGAACAAGCAGTGAGGAGAGGGTGTGAGGCTGGGGAAGGCTCCTACTAGCAGAAAGGGAATGAGGACTTAGGGAGGGATCATGGGACAAGGCATTGGGAGGGCACTGCTTACGTCAGGCCTCGCTTGAGCGCCGTGTACACCAGGTCCAGCCGCTCAGGCTGTGGGACCTTGGGGGCCGGGTGCGCCACTGAAAACATCTTGGACACTCGGGAGAGCGCTGGGGGCTTCCGTGGGGGCCCCGGGGGACTGAAGGCTGGGAAGCTCCTGAAGAAGAGACTGCACTCAGGAAGGGGCAAGAAGTCATTCCCCAAGCCCTCACTTGCACACTCCAACCCGGTCAGACTCTCTTGACCCCATAAGCCCCCCTCTGCCGCGTACCTGGGCCCCCGCTCCTGGCTGCCGAGGACGCCTGCGAAGGACTGGCTCCTATTGACCCGGGCGCTGAGCAGGCGGCGCTGCGGCCGCACCGACAGGGACATCATGGAATGAGTCCGCGCGGGGCTCCCTGGGGGTGGCGAGGGAGGATGTCCAGCGCCAATCAGGCCCTTGAAGCCCCCTCCCCGCGGCCCCGACTCTGTATCTCAGTCCTGCCGGCCACGGCCTGAGGCTGGAGTCCGAACCCCAGCTGCCCTGGTGCTTATGACAGGGCGGCCGCGGGTGACTCGGTGTCGGACTCAGCGTGGCCTCGGCTACGCCCCCACTTCCTGCAGAGGTGCAGGCTCCGCCTGCCGCGCGGGGCAGGAAGGGGGGTCGCACTGGGACCCTCCCCGGGCTGGGAAGGGGCAGGAAAGGGGAGGGGCGCGCAAAGAATGTGCGGAAGCGCCTGTTTACCCGGGGGTGGGGCGGGCTCCCCAGCCCTGCCCTGACCTCCTCCCCCCAAGTGGACCAGGAGCTCCCACGCCCACACCCCGAGAGGCCGTAGGAGGTCACGGGGCGGAGCGGGGTGCGTGCTTTGAGCCCAGCGGAGCTGCCTGGCAGGCCCGGCCTGTGCAGGTTGGGCTCCCCACACCGGCCGCCCTGCGGAAGCTGCTCCCCTCCAGCCCCCACCCGCTCCGAGGCGCCCAGACGCCAGAGCCCTCCCGGTGCCCAGAGCCGGGGGATTCCCAGGTTGGGGGGCAGTGCCGAGAAGTGCCCCGCCCCCTCCGCTTTCCTGAGACTCCAACCGGGAAACTGAGTCACAGACAGCAGCCTTTGCCCGTGACCTTAGCAGGAAGAGATCCTCCGCAGACCCCCACACCGCTCCGGCGAAACACGCGCCCCAGGCCCACAGAACGCGGCCCGCAGCCCCCTGGGACCAGCCCCGGAGCCTCCGCAGCCCCGGACCAGGTCCTACCTCTCTTCTTGGAGTTCATGGTAAGTCCAGGACAGCCCTCCAAGCTCCGTGCTTGCCCCCCGTGTCCCCGCCGGCCCAGGGCCACTCGGTGCCGGCCGGGCTGGGCTCCGCGCTCGCTCCCAGCGACTCTGGCTCCTGCTTCAGCTCCTCCTGGCGCCGCCCCCCGCCCAGTTCCTGCCGCCTGACTCAGCCCGCCGGGATGGGGCGGGACCCGCCGGACCACGGGGGCACCTGGCCCTTGGCCCCCCTCCCAGCCTCTGGGAGGGGTGACTGGAGGTTCCCCTCAGGCAGGGGACTTACAGGGGTCTTCTCGGCTGGGTCAGGAGTGTGGGTAAAGGGAGTCGAGGGCGGCGGTGAATATGGAGGGATAAACAGAGTGAGGACACCGGGTGGGGCTGAATTGGGTGCAGTTAGCACAGGGGGCTCATAGTGTGGCTGTTGAGGGGTGCTGAGAGAGAGCTGGACACAGAGGGCTGAGAGTTGGGGTTCTGAGTGTGTGAAGGCTAGAGAGCAGGGGCTGAGAGAGTAGAAGGAAGGGCTGGGGGTGCTGAGTGGAGGGACTGTGCCAAAGGACGGCAGAGAAGCACTGAGCATGAGGGGGTTTGGAGGCTGAGAAGGAGCTAAAAGTGGGGGACTGGATCAACCCCATATTATGTGTTGCTACCGAGAGAAGGAAGAGAAGCAACTGGGTGCAGAGAGTCCCATAGCACCATGCACCACCCCCATCCCTCCACCCTCAGAGGGGATGCTCAGTCTGGACACCCTCTCTACCCCCAGGCCACAGGGTAGAGGATCCGGTCCCATTCCCCAATCAGGGCCTTCTCTCTGGCAGAAGCTGCATCCTAGGGCAGAGGCCCCATCCTTCTGGCCCCCACCTCACCTGGGCTGAATCCCCTTGGTGTTGGCCCTTTCTTGCCCCCAGTATCTCTTTATTGACTATCCCTATCCAACTCTAGCCTGGATAAAGGCCACCATACTCAGGGTCCATTGAGCATCTCATCCTCTCAGATGGCCTGGGTGCTCCCCCACCCCATAAACACTCTTGCTCCTTGATGCTCAATTCTGCTGCACTGGGCTTACTTTTTCCCCAAGAGGCTGGGGTGGGCCCAGGGGTCTGCATTTCCAACCAGCCCACCACCCCGCTACAGATTCAGATGCAAGATGTCCAAGGATCCTAGTTTGAGAAATGCTATCTCCCCCTCCTTCCTTGAAGACTGGATGCTGTGCACCCTATGCTGGCAGCTATGCATTCCCATGGATTGCCCACTCAACACTGGCCTCTGCTCTGTGCAGCCACCCTCCATGGGAACACCCCAGTTTCATCACCTGGCTCTGGAATGACCCTTTCCTAAATCAGAACCACATCTCCATCACCCCCTCCTCACCTGCCTTCTACCTGTGACCTCTTGAGACCTCAGCTCATTTATTCAGCTATTTACCAAGTGACAACCCTATGCAAGTCTCTGGAGATAACAGCTGGAATTGCACAGACATTGCCCTGCACAGAGCTCACAATCCGCCTCTGCTTCCTTTCTCTCTGCCAGTTCCCTCCTACCTTCTCTTCTCTACCTTCCTTGCACACCCTTCTCCCCAGCCTGGATCTGCAGCCACCACTCCAGCTTGCTCGCCTGCTACCAATATCCCCAGCACCCTGGGCTTCTCTATTACCTGGCAGAAACCAACCCTGGGCAACCTAACCCCCTGCCTTCTCTGCACCTGTGCACAGGCTGGCGGGAGCTGCCAGAGGTCTTGGCACAGCAGCTGGGCTGGAAAAGAGCAAATCTCAACCTCAGCCAGGCTTTTGTTTCCCATGCGGGAAATCCTCATGTGTGACCTTAGCCATCTCTCTCCCTTTCCATGGAAGATGAGTGTTTCAAACTTTCTCCACAAGCCTCAAACAAGCTCAAGTCACTCCCACATAAAAGATGAAAACAACCTTGGAAACCATCCAAATGCCCATCAGTAGATAATGGAATGCTATACAACAAAAAGAATGGACAATATACAACCACATGCAACAATGTGGATGAATCCTACAGACATAATGTTGAGTGAAAAAAGCAAGACCACAAGAGAGGATATATGTTTGAGTTCCTTGATATAAAGTTCAAAAACAGTTAAACTTAATCTATGGTGACAGAAGTCAGAATAGTAGTGACTATTAATAGTAGTGACACTACCCCTGGGGAGTAGTGACTGGAAGGGAGCGCAAGGGGGCTGACAGGGTACTGATTATGTTCTGTTTCCTAATCTGGGTTGTATTTCCTGATCCTATATGGGTGTGTTCCTTTGTGAAAATGTCTTGTGAGCTGTACAGTTAGGACATATACCCTTTCTGTGTGAATATTATATTTCAGTATAAAGTTAACTTTAAATAAATAACTACAAAAAGAAATGACCCCTGTGGACTCCCAGCCTCTTTCTAGCTACCCTACCCCTCACCCTATTTGGCTCTTTTAGAGCCAAGTTTCTTGAAGAGGTGTCTACCTCCATTTCCTCTCCAAACCCACCCACTCTTCTTCCTATCTTGGTACAGCTTCTATACCCAGTACTCCCCTGACTGGTCTGGACAAGGTCACCAGTGACTTCCCCATTGCTGAATCCAGTGTCCAATGTTTGGTCCTTATCCTGCTTGATCTCAGCAAAGCTTTTCACTGTGTAGTTCTCTTCCTCTTCCTTGAGCCTTTCCTTGTCTTGGATTTCAAGAGACAACATGCCTCTGGCTTTCCACCTATCGCTCTGGCTGCACATTATTATTTTCCCAGAGGATCTGCCTTTCTCCCCATCCCTGAATGGGCCTCATCCTCCCCACTCATGGGCTGGGTACATCTCCCACAGCTTAATGCCATCTAAATTTTGCCAGCTTCCATATCTCTTCTTTGCCCAAACCGTTCTTCTGAGCACCAGGCCTGTTTATCCAGCTGCCTGCTTGATACCTCCTGGAAGCTGAGTGACAATGTGGAGTGGGTTATTAGGGATGTGCTAAGTTTGAAGGCCCCAAACTAAAGTCACCACTTTCCTCCTCAAACCTGACTCTCCCCAGTCTTAACCTCTCCCCGACAGCCCCACCATCTATTTATCCAGTTGTTCAAGACAGAAACTAGGAATCATCATGGATCCCTCAGCCTCTGTTACCCCCACATCTACTCAGCCACCCACTCCTGCCGTCTCTGGAATCTGCCCCCTCACCTCCACCCCTATAGCTAGAACTCAAGGCCAAGCCATCACCAATTCTCACCTAGAACCCTACAGCAGCTTCCTAATGGGTTCCCTGTCTCCATGCTAACCCACAATGATCTATTCAATAACAGCATTGCCCCTCTTGAAATTCCAGTCACCTGACAATGCTAAAAACTGTCCTTTATCAAGTGATTTCTATGCCAAGCACTGTGCTTAATTAACAAACATCATCTCATTTAATTCTGGCAACAAACCTACGGGGTGTGTCCTATTAGCCCCACTTCACAGGTGAGAAACCTGAGGCTAACTGGCTGTGTGACTTTGGGCGAGACATTTCTTAACCTTTTGGGGCTGCAGGTATCCATCTGTTAAATGAGGATAACAACAATAATAATAACAACTATCTCACAGGGCTGTTGGGAGGATGAAATGAGATACTTCCTCTACTGGGAGTGTTCAGGGAAGGGAGAATTGTATGTGGAGTACAGAAGTTGGGGTGGACACAGTACCTCACTGTAAACACACAACAAATGTTAACTGATGTTATTAACAATTATTAATCTGCCCAAGATTACACAGCTGTTAAGTGGTAGGGCCAGGATTCAAACCCCAGGACTCTAAATCTTTAACTTCCCTCTATTCTAACTCTTGTGAAACATCCATGGGCATTCCTCTACCCCAAGGATAAAGTCCAGACTCTCTAACATGACCCACAAGACCTTCAGGCTCTGTCCCTTCCCTCATATACCTTCCTCCTCCCCTCTGTTTCCCCCATGATTGTTCTGTTCCAGATACTGTGAATTCTCCCCGTGCCTGTAGGCTCTTCAGCATTTAAGCAGCAGCTCTCATTGATCCTGTATCCTCTTCCCACTACTCTGAGCCTGGCCAGCTCCCTCTCTTTCTTCAAGTCTTACCCTACTACTTCTTCCTCAAAGAAGCCTGCCTTGGATTGGGCCCCCCTTTAAGGTGCCTCATAGTGTCCTCTCTCTGATCCCTGAGGCCACATAACTCAGTTGTCAGTTCCCCTTTAGGGTCTGTCTTCCAACCAGATTGTGAACTCTGGGGGCTGAGGCCTGTCTGCTTTGCTCACTGCTGTACCCTCTGCGCCCTGCACCAAAGCAATGAAGGAAGGCAGGAGCTGATTATGAGTTGGGGGCTGACTGAACTGGGTTGCCCAGATACAGGTAGATCCTGAGCTGCTGGAGGGGTAGATTTCAAGTCTCTATCTACCCCAACTCCTCTACCTCATGGACAATTTCCTTTTCCTTTCCTTACTTTCTGATTGTATCAGCAGGTGGGCTTTTGCCCTCTGAGAATGGGGCTGGGTGGGGGTTCCCTGGGATTCTGGAACTGAGTAGGTGGGCTGGACTCAGAGTAGGCTGAGTGTCCCATCAATTTTCTTTCTCTGGGCTTCTGCCACAGGGACCAGGATGTATAACTGTTGGTCTAAATGACCATTAGAATATCAATCTAAGTGACAATTCCAGGGGGTGAATAGGCAGGATCTCCCCTGCTGGGGGTGGGGGAAGGGAAAGAGCTGAACCCCTTGAGCTAAGGGAGAGGGGCCACCTCAACTGGTGCTGATAAGAGCCAGGGGATTTTCTGGACTTATGGCAGCCCTGAAGTCTGTTCTGGACATGGGAAAGAACCCAGGTCTCAAGGGTGATGGGGCCTGCAGCATAGCCAGCTCAGGGCAGCTAGGAATGGAACTCTGCCCGCTTGCGTGGCCCCAGATTCCGCGGCCTCTAATACCCTCTACACGCCAAAACTGGTGCACTTGCGTGGGTCAGGAGGTCCCGCCACCTGTGCGGCCCAGCTCAGTGGTATGCCAGGCCAGCCG